AGCTCTCTATGTATCACTAGATTCAGTTTGCTTATAATTTGTTTAGGGTTTCTGGCATCAATGTTCACGAGAGAGATAAACTTTCTTGTCCTTCTGTTGTAATGTGTGCAGATTATGAGGTCAATGCTGTATCAGTTGTGACGTTTTCCCTTGTTCTGTCTTCTCTAGAAGACATTGTATTGAGTTTGAGCTGTCTTTTCCTTTGAGGCAGGCAGAACCCACATAGACCATGTGGATTACATTTCCTATAGCAATATTATACAAATTCAGTTTTTCCAATTATTTTTCTCCACCTAAATCTTTAATCTTGGTATGAGCTTGCTCCCATCTTTTACTATTTTAGGGTCTGTACAGCCCTCCACTGTTACTCTCAAATCACATATATTCACTTTTAACTCCTTATTTCTTGACAATAACAGGCAGAGCTTGCAGATTCTCCCGGAAGTCTAATGGTTGGCCTGGGTGAGCCTTGTTCAGTGCCATCTACTCTTCCTCTGCAAAAGTAGGGAACCTAGGAACACATGCTGGCATGGTTGATCTTGTGAGTCTGTCTGCAGGCGCAACATGAACTTCAGAGAGCTGCACTTTGGCAGTTTATTTGAATGCTGCCTTCCCCTTGACTGCTCAGCCCCTCCCAACGCCATCTATACCCTTAGCCGATGCTCCTCAGCTGTGATGCTGTGCTCCCAGTGTCGTAAGCAGTGTGGCTGCTGGTCTGTTTTCTCTGGGTTGCTTCATTTTGTTTTTTTCTAGTGGTTTCTGCATTAGGAAAACTTCCGAGAACGAAAATAAGAAAAAATACATCTCTAATCTACCTTCTAAAGACCATGTGATTGTTATGGCCTACTTTGTAGGATTTGAATGAGATACATTGCATGAGTGCATACACACAAACACACACACACACACACACACAGAGAGAGAGACAGAGACAGAGACAGAGAGACAGAGACAGAGACAGAGGGGGAGCTCAGTAGTTAAGAGCACTGTCTGTTCTTCCAAAGGTCCTGAGTTCAATTTCCACAACCACATTGTGGCTCACAACCATCTCTAATGGGATCAGGTGACCTCTTGAGGAAGAGACCTGGTCAGTCACCTTCATCAACTTAGACCATGAAACCCAATATGAAAAAGTTCAACAGAATCACCATATACAGACTGCCCATGCATGCTTCAGCATTACCAGAGCATAAATTTCAAAATATTTTTCATATATGTGTGTGTATGTGTATTTATTTAAAACATAATTGACAGAATATAGACAATTGTCCTACACCACTCTGTTTCTAAGCACCTGCACAGGCGTGCCAGGAGATGCTAACCCACTTTCACCAGACCACGGTTCTCCAGCCTGTCACCATGGTTAGACCAGGAATGTTTTCTCTTCCACTTTCAAGACCCCAACATCTCCCATGCTGTTGTCACCATTCGTGGCTTCTCCTGGCATAGCACCTCTGTCTGCTAGTGTAGGGTGCTAGAAACCTGTTCCTTAAATCCTATCCAAGTCCATGCATGCCTCCTCACACAAACCGTCGCAACTGTCGTAGCATAAATAGTAACGTGTACTAGATCGGTGGTTCTCAGCCAGGTGTGAATTTTACCACAACTGGGAAACAAACACCTAGTGGCAGAGGCCAGGGATGTCCCAACACTCCGTGGTGCCCAGAGCATTCTCTGCACAGAGATTATCTGACCCAAATGTTTAATAACGCCAGTGAGTTGTTGATTTTATAAACTGTGAAAACAAGAGTGTAGTCAAGTATTTCAAAGCTTTAATTGGTTATAGCTGCATATTTTAGGGTTTAAAAATAAACTTGCTGTGTGAGATAGGGCCTGAGATTTCTGAAAATAACTGGGGAAGGTAGATTCAATTACATCTGGAAAACGTTAACATTTCTCAAGCTGGGAGATAGGTACACAGATGTTTGTTATATCAGTTTTTAGTTCTCTTTTCTTTTTCATTTCATTTTTGTCTTTAAAGGTAGAATTCTGTTATGTAGCCCAGGCTGGCCTAGCAATCTTGATCTCCTACTTCAGCATCCCCAGTGTGAGGATGATAAACATGTTCCATCACACTCAGCCTTTTTTTTTTACTTTTTTATTTGAAATATTACTATAGAGTTTAAATAGCTTAATTAATTCTATAAAATTAGACATTGTATATTTTCCGTCTATCTCTTAATGTGGTAGTTTGAAAGAAATAGCCCTCCAAGGTAAGTGGCACTATTAGGAGGTGTGGCCTTGTTGAAGTAGGTGTGGCCTTGTTGGAGGAAGTGTCACTGTGGAGGTGGACTTTGAGGTCTCTCATATATGCTCAAACCATACCCAGTGAGACAGACCACTTCCTGTTACCTGCGAGACAAGATGTAGGACTCTCAGCTGCTTCTCCACCACCATGTCACACCATGACGACTGCAGACTAAACCTCTGAACTGTAAGTCAGCCCAATTACATGTTTTTCCTTTATAAGAAAAGTTGCCAATGTCATGGTATCTCTTCACAGCAATAGAAACCCAAACTAAGACACTAATATAAATAAAGTAAATATTATAGAATTTCAGTAATTTTATTAAATGGTTGGGCTTGGGGTATGGCATCAGATATGCTCTGTAGCAATTTTTTTTTTTGCTAGTAGCTGAATTAGCAGGAAAAAGAGAATGCTGGGGAAAAGGGAAGACCTTCCATAAGGGACATCATGAGACTGGTGCAGGACAATTCTATATTCTGTCAATTATATTTTAAATAAATGCTGATTGGCCAGTAGCCAGGCAGGTAGTATAAGCAGGAAAACCAGACAGGAAGTAGAGGTGGGGCAATGAGAACAGGAATATTCTGGGAAGAAGGAAGTTCTTCCAGCAGTCCTGCCCAGATCACCGAAGAAGCAGGATGTGACCTGCCCTGCTGAAAAAGGTACTGAGCCATGTGGCTAACATAAATAAGAATAATGGGTTAATATAAGTTATAAGAGCTATGACAAAGCCAAAGCTAATGGGCCAATCAGTATATAACTTATGGCGACCTCTGTGTGATTTTCTTTGGGACTTGCTGGCTGTGGGAACTGGGCAGGACAGAAACCACAACAAGCAGGCCCTCATGTTCCATGAGACAGTGACAAGATCAACTCACCAGAGCAGCTGGGGCATGACATGGGTAGACATGGATTAGATTACGAATACTTTAATCAGCAGACAGATTTGTCATAAAACATCATGGACATTGCAGCTTAAAGAGAGATTGAGTTTGAGGAAGTTGTCTGTATGAGTTTTCTAGAGAAAAACTGTCATCCAAAAATAACCTGATGAGGGCTAAATTTACTGCTATAATTATGTTAAGAGAGAATGTTTATGTTTTTCCCATGTAACTAATTCTTTCTGAGATTCTGAAAACAATGGGAAAACTGAAAGAAATGGACATGAGATCCAGAGGCAGGGGAAGCCTCGGCCTTGGCCACAAGGCAGGAAGGGAAGGCAAATGCGTGTGTGGTCTGGTCTGCAGGTTTTGAGTGACAGGAAGGTAAGTCAGCGACGTCTGAGGGTGATGGTACAGTTAAGAGGATAGAAGAAGTCCTAGGATGGGTACCAGAAAGCCAGCAGTGAAGTGGGATTGCGGCCAGTGTGAGGCTTTATCTCATGCATGCTTAGTGAGCTCTACCCATTCACTAGAGTGAGCCCATCTAGCGCCATGAAAGTGCTCCAAAGGAGGCATGAAGAAGAGAGCGTGTCCTAAGTCTTCTGAGCTTGATGAAGGAAGAAGGGAGGTGGCTATGTCTGCTAAGAACTGGCTGTATTGAACAAAGGACTCTCCCTGGAAGAGAAGAAAATGAAATGAGAAGAACCAATTAGGAATCAGTGAATCAACGTCTAAATCACACGAAACAACTGTCCTTGTGAATAACTTGAAGAGTTCAAAAAGGAGGGCAAAGGTCATGGTCAATAATAGGCTCTCTGAAATAAGACTTGAGATGGAGTACTTTTTGGAGAGCACAGGACTAAGCTGCTGACTTATAACAAAGTTTCTATCATCCAGGCGGGTTGTCTGAGGAGACCCTGGGCTGTCCTGAGGAGCTGACCCTCCGTCTTCTGTTCAACAGCCCCTTTTCTAAAAGCGAATGAGTGCTTCGTGGGAGCAAGCATGATGACATTCATGTGGCAAATCTTGTTTCTTGTAGGATGCTCAGATTAGGTGGACTATGGGGGATCCTAAAGAACAAGCAGATGGCAGGGGTCCCCCTACAGCTTGAGAGAGCATGAAGGAGAAGTGAGGGGAGTTGCCATTATCCTGTGTTGGTGCCTTAAGAACAACTCTGGAAAATTCTCACACGTTACACTCCTCACACACTGGAGAGGAGTTCATAATCCAGAACCAATCAGACACATTTGAATTTTCCATAATCAATTCTATTAATACCATGAAGAAGCCCATACATTTCAGAAAGGATTACCCAATAGTAGCTGAAAGCCAGATCTAATCTCCAGCTGCATGAGAATAGGTTCCTTTTGTCCCTGAGTGCCTGTCCAATAGGAGAAAGGTCGGTCTGCCCCTGCTAAATTATGGACAACAGAAATAGCCTTCTGCCTTCCTGTGGCTGCTCAGGACAGATGCAGCCATATCTGAATCAGAAGTGCCCACTTAGGCATGGGGATGTAAACATTAAAACATCAATAATTACTGATCGCTTCCATACTTGTTTACTACTAGGTTCCAAGTTCACCTCTAGAGATGATCAAAGGGAAAATGTGATGAACTTGAAGTGCACTGCACTTCAGGGATGCCCCTGTGTTCCATCCATTTGTCAAACAAGGGTTTATTAGCAAGCCCTGTGCTCCAAGCATCCTGTGATCGAGACTGCAGATTGTGCTCCACCTTGAGATATTGCAGGTTAGTGAAGATGGACAGAGACCTGGTCAATATTGAGGGTTTAATTACTTATTTAGTATCATTTGTTTGTAAATTACATACCACATATTTTGCTAGAAATGAACACACATCTACAAACATACCTCCTGCCTTGACTGGGTAATGTTCAGAATGCTCACTGCATAATCAAGATCTCCTTGTGCTGACTCTGAAGCGCAGAGCAGAAGTCTCAAGGGGAGACCTGAAAATATATTATGAACAGATCATCAGAATCATGAATGCCCCCTTGTCTGAGAAACTGCAGGAAGTTTAGGACAACTGAAGCCAGTGTCTAGCGTGGGATGCAGTAACAGCTAGAGGAGGATACATCAGGATGAGTGTTCACTGGGTTTTGGAATTTAACCCTCACTTTGGAGAGAAAAGCAAGCAACTTAAGCTTCTTTTTCAGCAGGGGGATAAAATGGCCATACTGCTCCCAAATGGACCATTCTCTAGCAATGTGGAAACTGGCTTTGTATCAGGCAAGCCTGAATGCCAGGAGTGCAATTAGCTCCATGCAATGCTCCAGACAATGTGGATAAAACAACAAAAGCAGTGGCTATGACAAACCACTGAAAACCACCAGGACTTCAGTAGGTGCACAGTGGTAGATGCTGGTGAGAGCGGAAGCGTCCAGGGTGGCCTCCATCCGTGTTCTGTGCACCAGGCAAGCAAGCCTGCCACCAGTTGCCTTCACAGTAGAACAGGAAGGGCTTTGCAGCAGGGACATGGTGTGGTTTTGCACGTCCCAGTTGTAGGCAGGTTTAATTAAACATTAAACTTGAAATAGGAGTGAGACTATGAAAATTAAAAACTTTTGCTTTCCCAACAATTCTGTGAAGAAGATGAGAAGATAGGCTACATTCAACGAAAAAAATCTCCAAGCCCTTATCCAATAAATATTCTGTATCTAAGATATATCGAGAGCTGTCAAAAATTTGCAAGCAAACAATCTAATTAGCAATTGGGCAAATTTTTCATCAAAAAACACAAGCTGACATGTCACCAAGGAGGAGGCACAGTAAGCAGGCATGTGGAAATTGGTTCAATATCATGGACCACAGGAAAAGAAACTGAGGTGCAGCATCACCAGACATCCACTAGGCTAAGAAAAGACAATGAAAACAGCAAGAGCTGGCAAGGATGCGGAGAAAGAAGTGCAGGTGCCAGACACAGTGTGGATGCAGTTCTAAAAGACGGGAAGACAGGTCCACATCTAATGCTGCTTCCTTTACAGCACAGAAGTCATGGTCCCTGTTCAGAGTGATGAAGAAGTGGTAGGGTACAAAACCCAAGCCAGCTGAGGTTTGGAGCAACCACAGCCATTGAGGGAAGCAGGAGAGGGCATTTAGTGGAAACAACACAATGCCCATGCTTCTTACCCCTCTTCCCACCACCTACAGTGCTGGCCCAGAGGATTCTGTACCATGATATAAATGTTCCACATGTGTGCTGTTCTCTCTCGGAGCCCTCAGTCCCGTGTGGCTACAAGTAGTGCAAGTGTGTGAGTGTCACAAAGCAAGTGACTTTATCACATGCAATTTTAACTTCAATAGTCATATGTTGTCAGCAGACTGTCTACCAAAAAGTGAAGATAACAGATGTATATAGTAGGCTATCAATTTTCTTTTTTATTATTTATTGATTTTAATAAAATTTTTTTATTGTAGTTAGTATGTAAAATAAAGGAAAATGTTAATAAAAGGGGGAGAAAAAGAAAAAAATGATTTTGTGTATATGAGTATTTTCCCCGGAGTTACAGATAGTTGTGAAGCATGTGGGTGCCAGGAACCAAACCCAGGTCTTCTGCAAGAGCCGCAAGAACTCTTAACAACTGAGCAATTGCTCCAGCACCTATTGGTTTATTTTTTAATTAGCGTGCAAAATACTAGATTTCAGCTGTGCGGTGGTGGTGCATGCCTTTAATTCCAGCACTCGCGAGGCAGAGGCAGGTGGATCTCTGTGAATTTGAAGACAGCCTGGTCTATAGAGCAAGTGTCAGGACAGCCAGGGCTGTTACTATACAGAGAAATCTTGTCTCAAAACAAAACAAACATAAAGTATTGGATTTCATCATGATATTTGCAAACAATATCCTGTCTCCCCACACACCCTTGCCTCCTTTCCCCTTGCAAGTCACGTGTGTCCTTGGCCTCTGCCGCTCAGCACCTCCCCACTTTCATGTCCTTTCTGTTTCTCAGCCTTTCCTACACTCTCACTCATGTGCATACATAGATGTCTCTTGTGTCTCTGAGTCTGTTTCCTTGTTGAACATGATACTTAGTTCATGTTTTAACTAGAGTTAAAAAATTCTATCAGTTTTCCTTCAAGTTTCATAATCCCATTTTTTCTTTATAGAAATCCATTGTGTACATACAGCGTTTTCATTGTCTATTCGTCTTTGATGGACATCCAGGCTGGTCCCATTTCCTTACCATTGTGAACAAGGAAATCATAAATATGGATATGAAAGTGTCTCTGTGGTAAGATGTGGAAGTATCATACATTTTCAAACACAATGTGGTCCTTTTGGGTGGCTAGCAAAGATCTAGGCCTAGAGTCCAAGCACATAATTTTCTTTCCCATGTATTCATAATTCAATAAATCATTATAAAATTCCTTGGCCCTGAAATCTCAAATAGCAAGTGTTCTCCTCGTTCTTTTACTCTTGTTCCTGATTTTCAAACCTTTTTTGTCAAATGTATATCGCAAACAACTGGCAGACTGGTAATAGTAAAGACTAGCCTTGGAGACTGAACATTCCAGCATGCGTGTTTCCCAGAGTTTCCTAAAGCCAGAAGGGACTTCAGAAGGTATGTGGGCCTGCCTACTCTGTGGCATGGCTAATGTGCACAGGCTAATGACAGGACAGGCTTCAAATGCAACCTCACTTTGTACCCCTCCCCAAAGTTCTCAGGTTCAAACACATTAGCATTCAGCATGACATTTCTGACGCGCACAGACCTTCCTGACTTTGGGAGCCTTAATAAAGAACTTCAAGGATTAAATGATTAACTGATAAAATAATTAAATGTTGTGGTGGCTAACTTCAGCTGTCAACTTGATGCAACCTAGAATCACGTGAGAAGAGACAATGGGTCTATGGATTGGGTCTGGCCAGTGGACATGCCCTTGAGGGATTTTCCTTGGCTGAGTTCATTGAAGTAGGAAGACCCACCCTGAATGCAGATGGTACCATTTCCTGGGCTGGGCTCTGGACTGTATAAGACTAGACAAACTAGTTGAGTACCCGGTAAGCTAGCAAACAAGGACCCATGTGTTTATTCTCTCTTGACTGATGCTCTAAGTCCCTGCCTCGACTTCCCCACAACTGTGGACTGTAGCCTAGATGTACAGCCTTTCAGCCCTAAATAGCTCTTTGTCAGCAGATTTTACCACAGCCACAGAAATGGAACTAGAACCGAAGTAAAGAAGTGGAGCCTAGGATTAGTTCTTGCTGTAATGTGGGTGTGTATTAGCTAGCCTCTGAAGGTCACTGTGCTAATGGCTTAGATTCTAGCACATCAGCACACTGGGAGGTGCTGGAATCTTTGCAGGGTAAGGCCCAGAGGAAGGAAGTTAAGTCACTGAAGGCAGGCCCTGAAGGGGATTGTGGGATCCTGGGTTTTGTTTGTTTTGTTTTCTGTTTCCCATCGTTCCTGGCTCATGAAGTGAGTGGCTTTCCTTCAGTACACATCCTAACACGATGTGCTGCTTTGTCAGAATCTCAGAGCCATGGGGGCTAGCTACCTGCACTAGAATCTCCAAAGTCGTGGACCAAATCTGTGTGTGTGTGTGTGTGTGTGTGTGTGTGTCTTTGTGTCTCTCTGTGTTTTTCTCTCTCTCTCTGCCTCTCTATCTCTGTGTGTGTCTGTCTGTGTGTGTCTGTATGTCTTTGTGTCTTTCTGTGTTTCTTTCTCTCTGTGCCTCTCTCTCTATCTGTGTGTGTGTGTGTGTGTGTGTCTGTCTGTCTGTCTGTCTGTGTGTGTCTGTATGTCTTTGTGTCTTTCTGTGTTTCTTTCTCTCTCTGCCTCTCTCTATCTGTGTGTGTGTGTCTCTGCGTGTCTGTTTCTGTGTCTCTCAGTGTGTCTCTGTATCTCTCTGGGTGTGCTTCTTTCTCTCTCTGCCTCTATTCTCCCCCATCCCCACCCCAGTCTCTGTGAATTAGCCTAAACTGGCCTGGAAATTAGTACATACCACAGGCAGACCTTGAATTCAAAGTCTTCCTGCCTCTGTAATCCCGGGATTGCAGTCATGTGTCACCACGCACACAGCATTAACCTTTTCCTGTTTAAGGCAATTATCAGAGGCATTCCCCTTACAGCGGCACAGCACTTAAAACAACAATGCTCTCCGTCATCAGGTGGGACCACTCTACCTGAGACCAACTTCAGGATTCACACCTGCCTGTCTGCAAATCTCGGTCCCAGTCTCTTTGGCCCTTATCAGTCATGTAACCATAAAGAACAGGAAACACCTAGGGCAATACATAACCCAAAACTCCCACTTCAAACGGTGCAGTAACTCAGTAAAAGACTTGTGTGGTTCTCCCTCTGGCACTGTGATTCTCGGTCTGTGGGTCATCACCTCTTTGGTGGGCGGAATGGCCCTTTCACAGGGGTCAACTAAGGAAAACACAGATATTTATATCACTTTTCCTAACAGTAGCAAGATTATAGTTATGAAGCAGAAGCAAAAACAGCTTTATGGTTGTGGCTCACCACTGCCTTAAAGGAGTTGAGAACCACGGCGCTAGCGCATCTTCACCAGAAACCTAAGCCCACCGGTGAAAGCTGCTAAGCTTA